TAACTGATGCACTTGACTAACACTAAAAACCCAAGTTTATGTACTTGTGAATGTCAAATGCAACCACACAAAACATAAAGCTGAGAGACTGGGAATTACTTATGTAGCAAAGCACCAGGATCATAAATAACTTGATCAAATCCGAGACACAAAGATGAGTGATGAAACACGATACATCCCAAACTCCGCTGCAAACCTCTCTGCAAAATCCGAAACAGGGGAAAGTTATTTTAATACAATAAAAGCAAAACATATTCAAAGCGGAATTCATCGAATAGAAATGGGCATTTAATTTCTGGAGGATGAAAAAGGACAGACTCGCAAGATCCTTCGAGCATAGCCTTGAAGGGAACGGCGAGGGCATTTCCGAAGCCATCGGCGGCCTTACTCAGAACTCCGCCCATCTTCTCTGTACCACCGAACCTAAAAGAAGAAGAAGAAATTACTGATTGAAATTGACCACAACTCCATATGCAACTCTCTGCATCTCCAATACACAATCCAGAAGCATTTCAGAAGAATCGCAAGAGAAGAAGATATCGTTATTTTTAAACTCTTCATTATTTACCATCATTATCATTCAGTTATTCTGTGATTCTAACTTAATGGGTCATGGGCTGCCCATGAAACCCATTACAATCGTGCTCATTAGACAAATCCTCTCAGCCCAATTGCCCAAGACTTGTTAGCTTTTATAAACAACAACTGAGAGGAAAATATTGAAGGGGCTGGGAGAAAGAAATCTTTCATATACTCCCGATTCCCGAATTAAGTTTTTATTTTCTTTTCCTGAAGTTTTCATTCCATTTTTGGAAAATTTTTACTGCCTTCGCCCCCAAGTTATGTGTTTGATTATAAATTGATAAAATGTAAATAAAGTAAGAATTAATTAGAGTCATACAAATATTATTAAATATAATATGAGTTCAATTAAGTGGAATGAATGGAAAAGAAAAAATGAGACAATTATAATCGGACAATAACAGTCTTAATTTATTTACTTACATTACACCTACTATTTGGCCATGTTTGGCAATTGGTGATTAACTGTTAGCGCTTAGCAGATAATGTTAGCGGGTTGAAAATAGCGGATTGAGTCAACGCATTTGACCAACAGATTAATTTTGGCGGGTTACAAAAATATGTTTGGTAACTTAGTTGTTTATTTATAGCGGTTAATTAGTAGGTTAAAAGACCAAAAAGGACATTGATTCATTATTAGCTAAGCTACAAAATTAATTTGATAATAGAGGGACCTGAAATTTCCTAAAAACAACAAAGTGAAAGTTAGAAGCTGTTTGAGAACGGGAGAGTAATTTACACAATTTTTATGAAATTTAAAGTGAATGGTGAACTCGGTAAATTATATCATACAACCGGTTGTACTGTGTGTTTGGTACAGTCGGGTATTTTGTAATTAACTCCAAGTTGATGCCTAGTTATATTACATCTTGTTTCCTTATTTGTTTTCTACTGTATCGCTTAGAGCATCTCCAATGCTATAATGTCCACGGTGCACACGTGGCATGAGTGATAGCCACATAAATATGAGCAATTAAATTATTTCTCTCCTTATTTGAATGATTTTATACAATTTTGGTAAGTTTTTTCCTGCAATGTCAACAACAATGTCAACATCTAGACGGTCTCCTTGACAATGTGGAGAAAAACTTACCAAAACTGTATAAAATCATTCAAATAAGGAGAGAAAGAATTTATTTGCTAATATTTATGTGGCTATTTTTCATGCCACGTGTGCACCGTGCACATTTTACCATTGGAGATGCTCTTATGCTTTATCCTCTGCACACACAACTATCTCATTGCCGTCCACTCGTCCAGAAACCTCTCCTTCAGATTCAAAAGACTCGATCCAATTTGATAATTTCATCCCCTTCAAAGCCATCTCTAGTTGATGCCTAGTTGATCCAATTTGATAATTTCATCCCCTTCAAAGCCATCTCTGGTTGATGCCTAGTTGATCCAATTTGATAATCACTCCCCGTCCTTGTCGTCTATCAAGCCTTGTACTCTTGCAGGAATCAAAACGCCGAATTGACGGAATTGCTAATAATAAATACTACTCCGTACGAGTATATATTATACTTCGTATGTGCATATTGTAGTCGGTGCCGGTCCTACCTAAACTCAGGCCTGAGTCGAGCTTCATAAAATGGGCTCTATATATAGTGTTTGTTTATCATATAAATTCATTAAAATTGAATGATTAAATATCACAAAAACACAATCTTTCGAAAGAAGTCTTCCATTATCACGAAACGACATTGAATCTCATTTTCAGTTACCCCGCTGCTGCAAAGGCTCCCACCTACGGTAGGGTAAGGGGGGTCAGATGTACGCAGTCTTACCCATGTACTAAAGCACATAGAGACTGTTTCCGGATGACCCATACAAAACGACATTGAATGTATTAAAAAATTATTTAAGTAAAACCCATCAAACAATTTTAGATACATAATTTAGTAGAATTCTCAACAATATATACTATAAACTTGCTCTACAAATCAGCACTCGAAATAACTTAAAAAGTGCAAATCACCCTTATATAAGAAGCTATGTCCAACCGTCACCATTTGGGGTGGTTCCCAGTGGAATTTTTTATGAAAATTTTTTAGCATCTTCTTTATTAATTCTAGTTTATTCATACCAAATTTCAGCCAAAAATTCAACAAATAAGGCAGTCAAATGATTTTCTGAAATATATTGCGCTGTTTAACTGCGCAATTATCTTCAAAATTTCATTTGACTGCCTTCCCTATTGAATTTTTTGCTGAAATTTGGTATGGGTAAATTAGATTTAATGAAGAATATGCTAAAAAAAATCATCAAAAAATTTCACCAGGAACCGCCCCAAATGGCGACGGCCTTGGAAAATACATAGGTATAATAATAGTAATGTTTAAAAAATTATGGGCCCCTAATTTTTTCAATTGTTGGGGCCCTAAGGCTTGGGCCTCTCCAGCCTAACATAAGGCACTGGCCTGATTGTAGTTATAATTTTATGTACAATTCAAATGAGTATAATGCTTAAATGAAATGAGTATACACACATGAATATTTGAGCGTATTAGAGAATTCAAATGAGATTTTTAATTTTTCGATGTTCACTTTATGAGTTACATATGCTCATCTAGTATTAGTTTTATGTTCATTTTAAAATGTCATATCAATACATATTTTAAAAGTATCATATTACATTACATTTAACATTTGCGTAAGAGTTGATTATAGACACAGGGTAGGGATTATGATATTCAATTGCATGCTTCTAATACTCAATAGATTAAGTTTGATGCTCGATAAAAATGTTTTGATATTCAACTAACAATGTTTTCGATTTTCATATCAATGCTCATTTGTAAGTAATGTGCTCATTTGGTACTGATTTTATACTCGTTTTGAAATTTCATATCAACTAGTATAGTACCCGTGCATACGCATGGGAAAAAACATTTGATGCATCTAATTAAATATGAAAAATATAGAATTTAAAAAAATTACATTTAAATATATAAAAATACAATAATTAAATAACATAAAATATAAGTCCATACAATAAATATAAAAAGTATAGAATATACATCAATAAAGCTAATTGACACCATTCATTTCAATTGAATTTGCTACTTATTAATTAGTATTGTCGATGAAATGTAATAAAGCATTAAACTTACACTTGTTAAAGGTTTTGTAAAAAAAAAACTTCTTTAAGAAAAACATTTGGGATGGTGTGTAATGCCCCTTCCTTATGAATGTATTAAACTGCAATTCATGTTTATGTTGAACTCTCTATAGTGCCACACACAACTATGCATGACTAAAAGCGAATATAATTAGATTTACCTCAACTTTATCTAGTATCTAATCTTGAGATTTGTTGATTCTCATCATAGAATATGAGTCAATTTTAAGAATTTGTCTTCTCATAAGTTTAAGAGCCTGTTTCGTGATACCAAAATCGGCTGAATTAGCTGAGTGTGCTTAAATTTATGAAGTTCTAGCTGAAGTGACCGAATTAGTTGATTGCGCTGATTTATGAAAAAATTATATTTAAAATATATTTTATTAATAAAATAAAGATAAAATTATATGAAAAATAGCTAAAATAATCATCTATAGTAACTTCAGCCAATAAAGTACTAAAAGTAACTTCAACCGTACTTTTATCTATTAATACACAACTCAGCGGGCGAAATCAAAAGTCACATGTTTTGTGAAAAACATACACATGCTCTAAATGTCCAAGGTGATTGAGAAAGGGATATACATGTAAGGAATGTAAAATTCATTGACACGATTTTGAAAACGTGTGAAAATTAATATATTTCCGTTACAAAATCCTTCCTGTCGATTTATATTACTTAACAACATTGTTAGAGTCCAATCCTTAAGTCTTAAAGAACATTGTTAGAGTCCAATCCTTTCCCATGGAGCTCCGCCATACTCCATATCTCCGGACCAGAAGTTCCGCCGTCGCCCCACTGCGCAGGCAAACAAATCAACAATCTTAAGGGAGTGAGATTCCATCGGAAATTCTTAAGAAAAAAAATGTCCTCTCATCCGGCTTTGGAGCAATCGTCTGCCCAAATTGGTTGCACCAATGTCGTAATTAGGCCGTTTGAAGAAAATTGTCTCCCATATGCGGCTATGCATCATTTCTGACTTTTTGAATGTTGCAAACTGTTGTGTTGATGTTTTCTGGGAAGAGCAATAAACATTAAAAATTTGGATGTGGAGCGCTTATATGTGGGCAAAATTTAAAGACTTCAAGAGCAATGTTTGTTGCAATTAGGGCTGGACTCGGGCCGGTTCGGGGCCGGCCGGGCCTCGGGCCAGAAAACTGGGGCCCGAGCCCAAACCGCCGGTGGCCGGTTCCGGTTCCGGGCCGGGCCAAACCGGTCCATTTTTTTTTGGTTCTCCTATTTAACCCCCTACCCCTCCCCCTCAACCCCAAACCACCCCAAACCACCTCAAATGGCCCAAAATATCTAATCCAACCCAAAACTTAAAAAAAAATTCAAAAAAATAAATAAATTAAAATCCGGCTCAGACCAGGCCCGAACCGGTCGGGCCGGTTCGCCTAAAGCAGGGCCCGAGCCCGGACTGCCCATCACCCGAGCCGGGCCAAACCGAACCGCTGGACCCACCGGGCCCCGGGCCGGGCCAAACAGTAACCGGGCCGGGCCGGTTCTGGGTCGGGCCGCCCGGCCCGAGTCCACCCCTAGTTGCAATGTATACATATATTTGATATGGAGTATTATACATCTTACATTTTGATTGGTTTTTAGTTACATGTCCTTAAACACAATTTACATTTCAATAGTTACATTTTGAACAAAAAAACCGAAAAACCGAAACCGACCGAAACCGAACCGACCAAAACCGAAACCGACTCAAACCGAAACCGACTCAAACCGATTAAACATTTGCGGTTCGGTTTACGGTTTCACCTTTGGGGTTAAAAAACCGACCGAACCGAAACCGACCGACAAAAACCTACAAAAACATGCTAAAACTAACCGAAACCGACCCGAACCGACCGATATTAACCGAACCGAAACCGAACCGAAACCGACTCAAGTAGTGCGGTTCGGTTTACGGTTTCAGCTTTTCCGGAAAAAAAACCGACCAAACCGAACCGACCAAACTGAAAACCGACCAAACCGAACCGACGAACACCCCTACATTTCAATATGCTTTAGGTTACATTTCCTTTTGCTTAAGAAAAAAGGTTACATTTCCTTTAACTCAATTTACATTACAACTTGCACCAAATTACATTTCAATTAATATGTTTTATATTTTGATTTACCTTAGCAAGTTACATTTCAATTAATACGTTTTACATCTCAACTTATCTGGAGTTACATTTGAGTATACACGATTTACATTTTGTATATGATAGGTGAGAGAATAGACATTGGAAGGAGTAAAGTTACATTCATATTCTTGTGGCTACACCAAAGACTAACCTGAATTAATATAATCAATGAATTGGGTTTTCAGTAGTTATACAAAACACAAAATACGAAAGGGTATATGCCAACATGTCACAGCTTGCTAGGGATGGACTCGGGACAGGCCGGTTCGGGCCTATGCCCGGCCGGGCTTTTTCTTTGGGAAGGGAGAACCGGAACCGGCCAGGGTAGGCAGCGGTTTTGGGCCGGGCCGGGCCGGTTCGGGTTCAATGTTATTTTTTTTTATTTTCTTTGGATTTTGTAATTAACCCCCGACCCCCCCATCACCCCACCCCCAAACACCCAGCCCAACCTGGTAGAAACAAAAAAAAATGGAAAAAAATAGGCCCGAACTGGGCCCGGAATGGCCGGGTCGGTTCCACTTTTAGGAGGCCCGAGCCCGCACCGGAAATTGAGCGGTTCAGTAGGCCCGAACTGGCCCGAGGACCGGCCAACCGGGCCGGACCGGGCGGCCCGACCCGAGTCCACCCCTACAGCTTGCATCCCTCATGTAAAGAAACTAAGGGGGTGTTTGGAACTGATTCTGCTACTGCTTCTTTTTTAAAAGTAGAAGCAGAATCAGAATCAGTTTTCAGAAGCTGGTACCCCCCAGCTTCTAAAAAAACTGATTCTGAGAGTAAATTAGAGCTCCAGAAGTGCTTCTGGAATTTCACCCAAACACTCCAACTTCTGCTTCTGCTCCCTGAAGGAGCAGAATTAGTTTTGAGAATCAGATCCAAACACCCCCTAATATATCTGTAAAAACCTACCATTGGGGTGGATGGAGAACACATATTTGCTCTTTAATATGTGGATGGACAACACATGTCACAACTTGCATCCCTCATGTAAAGAAACTAATACATCTGTAAAAACCTGCCATTGTGGTGGATGGACAACATATTTGCTCTTTAAGAAGATAAATGAAAGCAACACTGATGACGAAATGAGAACTCATCCTCTTTTTTGAATGCTTTGTTTGAGTTCTTAAGTTCTAAACTTCTAATCAAAACATTTAAGTAGCTATTGATCTTAATTTGGAGGAAAAGGACATTATTTAGTAATTAAAAAAAAAGGTCCTGCATTGCACAAATCAGATTGACATACAACCTTATTATTTCAAAATGTGATTATGTGAATGACACACTGAGAATGAAAGATGAAGACCATTTCACTACTTTTGTTTCTTTTAACTTTTTAGCAAAACAAAGATGTGAAGTCAATTATATATTGATGTAATGATGTTACATCTATTTCATACCCAACTTCTATAGTAATTGTCCATTTGACCTATGCTAGAGGAAGTCTGAAAATGGTGCAAAGGTCCATTTTATCAAGTCAATGGCTATAAACATACTTAAGAGGTCCAATTTACTCCTTAAAAAAATAGTTCCATTTACATCCCAAATATATGAGGAGTTAAGAGATCAAAAGCCCGGTGAGCTCAACCTAGAAGTTTCAAAGACATGTAATTGGTTGCTAGATTAGACATTAGAATTCAACAGAAATCATTTCAAAAATAAAATATAAAATTACCCTCAAAATCTACAATGTTTTGAAAGTTCAGCCACCAATGCAATGAAAACCTTTCTTAAATGGGCATAAAAATAGCTTAGGTATGATAAAGGTTAGTTTAGTTAGAGAAACAGAAAATAAATAATTATTAAATCCAATCCAAAAGCCTATTAAAACTGAATCCTAAAGTTTAGTTCAAAAGGCAAAAAGTTTGATTTTTTAGGATAATTGATGAACTTAGATATTAATGGGAGTGGTAAGAACCCTGGTAAACGTAGAAATTGCCCCTTTTGGTTAATAAAATAGTGTTAATTAACTCCAAAATCTAACTTATAACTCAAGAAGAACATAAAATTTATGATGATACACATTAAACCCAACTATTTTGTAACTTTAATTATAACAGTAATTCTGTTTTTCCTAAGATTATCTAAACATTTACTTGAACATCATATATAGTATTGAAGAAGAAGAAGAAGAAGAAGAAGAAGAAAAACTACATTTTCAACTATTAAAGTTATGTTTCTTTGTTACGAAAGATGAACTAAGCATTTCATGGAACAACATGTGTGCCTAATATACTTAGAATACATGACCCCTATCTTAGTCCACTAAATTTCAGTATCTTTGATAAAAACAAAAGATATATTACCCTGAAAATCTACAATGTAGATGTAGAACTCAATGCCTATTGATGGTTAACTATATGAAATTTTATGAAGAAAAGGGCCATAAAAAGCTAAAACATGAACTTAGAGATTACCTTTGTAAAGTATGAAAATCGTATGGAACTCGGGGTCTTGGACAAACACCCACATAAATATTTAGGCCGATGTGTGTTGAAATAGGGAGAGCAGTTTGATTTGGATGTTATTTCTATAACAATCTTAAACCTTTTGGCTCCTAGGTAATTGAATTTGAAAATGGAAGTGAGTAATAGAGAGAGGCTGGAGACGGTTTGGGATTATTTTCTAGTCTAGCAGTGAAGTGAAAAATGCTTCGGAGGAGTGAAAAGTATTGCTGGTTTGACACGTCGGAAGAAACACGGGAGAGTAGGACTCGTGGATTTTTTAGGGTAGAAAAATGAATGACATGGGTATCTGCTTTCTTATATATAAATAGATAGAGTGTCAATTACCTCCAAATCTCCATATAAAGTTTTAGGAAGCAATTAGAAATAGTTCATAGATAATAAGTGTCAACAACAAACTCAGAATCATAATTTGCTTATAAACTTACTTAAGATCAGATGAAGCGTGGAATTTCCAGTGAGTAAAAGAGTGCCAATAACATCCCAAATCTGGAAATAAAGATTTAAGAAGGTATCAGTAAGAAAACGTCCTTATGTAGAAAATGATTAAAAGTAAACTCTTCAAAGCTACCGAGCAAAGAAAGCAGTAAACCACTTTTCAAATTCACATGTAACTTTTAGTTAGAGGACGCACATTTTAAAAATAAACTACAGTAAAGTAAAATGAACCTGGAGAAAACTACAAAAATGGACATCAATAATATAGATTGAAAGTGAACATAGGAACATTAGATTTAAAAATGAGCATAATGGCAGGATTGACTGCCATTTTAAGCTGGAATAGATTTCATCTTCTTAAAGTTCTGCATATAAATTTTAGAAAAGCGCTGTTATGAAACAGTCAACCCAAAGCTCAAACTTGGATTTGTTTATGATAAAAAACATGATTTCCCAAGGACTCCTGAATAGATTGAGATTTGAGAATGAAGACAAAGCATTAAACTTAAAAAGGAGCATTGTCGCAGCCATGATCTTAAGGTAGAATAGATTTCATCTTCTTAAAGTTTTGCCTTTTTTTATTATCAATTAGCAAAACAATTTGATATTTTAGTTACTCTTAATTAAATATAAAGTTATGGTTTAAAGTAAACTTTAGCACCACATATGCTTAATATAGAACGTGAGTAAAGTTACACCCCATAAATTTAAACAGAAACTGATTCGTTTAGATAAAATTAAAGTGATAGGCTAATCCAAAAAACAAAAAGTGATAGGCTGAACTGCTGAAGTATAAAGCTAATATGCTTTTCTCATATAATCATTTCATCAAACACCTTATATGCCTTACCTTGTATGCTTTGGTGCACCTAAAAGTCATGTAAAAACATTGAAATAGATCATCATCATCAATACCCCAGTGCCACAAAGGCCCCCCTACACCTATGGTGGGGTAGGGGGGTCGGATGTACGCAGTCTTACCCCTGTACTAAAGCAGGGAGAGACTGACTGTTTCCAAATGACCCATAGTGAAAAACGCGTCGAAAATTGCATAGACTGACTGTGACTTGATAACAAAGAAGAGCAGACAGTTTGGTGAGCCATTTTGTTTTATTCCATCATATTCTCAAGCCAAAAAATAGTGAGTCTTTGGCTCCATTGAAAATGATGGAAAAAACTTTGAAATAGATACATCAGCAAATATTAATTGTGAAAAATGAGTCCAACAATAAAGTGTGTAGCAAAACTAAGATGGCACGGTACCTTTTACAACTCAAGACCTCTCAGATTATCCTGTATAGAAGAATACAACAGGAGCATGGATGAACTATTAATAAAGCTTAAATACTCCATAGAAATCCATAGTGGCTTTTATGAACTGTTAAGAAAGCTTAATTTACACCTTCAAATTGAATGAAAAAGGGTAGAAAGATGATTGAAAGAAGATGGAGAGCTAGTAGATGAGAGACCTGTTGTACATGGCACGCTGTAGCGGTAAATCAGTCAATCTGTTCAGCATTCTTTGGAGAAAAAAACTCTTAGGATTTGCCTTCTACTTTATCAGCACATATATACGCAGGGGAAGAGTTGAAAATGACTGGTTTTTTCTCTGTGAAAAAAGAAAAGACAAGTGGATTAATAGGAGAAGAGGCGTGAATTCAACTGAGCAGGACACGTTGGAAAGAAGGTAGCACATGAGGATAAAAGAACTATGTAATTAGAAACCTGATTATATTATTAGAACAAACTGAAGCACAACCAAATGAGGATAAAAGAACTATGTATTTAGAAACCTGATAATATTGTGATGATAAAACATTTCATCGTAGACTTTATATGCTGACGAATGACTATTCCTCACTACTCAAGAACGAAAAGGTGAAAGGATCTTTAGTAGTCACCAAGATTTTGGGACAACGTAAGGTATGTCACGAATTCATCAAGAATCTTAAAATAAGGAGGAATATGGAAGGAGGAGAAAATATATCATCTAATTAAAAAATAAACTGAACTATTCAAATAGATATCTTTTTTCTCATATAAACATTTCATTTTTAAACTGATGTAAAAATTGAGAAATAAGTTCATAAACAACACAAAGAACATGAAATAGGAGAGAAGGTAGCGTACCTATATTATTAGAACGGCAACAATGCAAAGATCGAAAATCTAGATAAGTAGATGAGAGGCATGTTATTCTCAAAAGGCTCTTACGGGATCCGTTGCTTTGAAGATGAAGAGATGCGAAATTCGCTTAGGATTTTTTGGGAGGAAGTTCGCTAGCTTGTTCACTTTCTCGTTCTCGACGGATGCAGAGTGTACCAAGAGGCTGAATAGCAAGTTCTCTTGCTCTTTAGAAACGAAAAAGACACGTGGATGCATAAGAAAATAGGGCGTGAATTAAGGGGAGCAGGACACGTGGGAATGAAGATCATTATTGTACTTTAAACAGCCTATTCTTTTCTTATATATAAATAGATGCATTATGCATATTTCTAAAGTACCATTTACATTAGATTCACATATTGAAATTCATAGGAGTTGATTATAGATACAACGTATAATTTAAGAAATTTTTATAAAAAGAAAAATAATTACAAATAAATTGAATTAAAAGATACGAATCAAAGATCACAATGCTCATTATTGGGTTTCTAATACTCAACAGAATATGTCGCATGCTCACTAAAAATACTCAGACGCGAATTTCATTTAAATTACCAAAATGTCCCCGATTGTACGGTGCTCACCGTATAGCCGGTTGTACTATAGGCACTCATACCGGTCTGTTGGCCCCTAGCATTGCCCATGCACACATTTCAACTATAGCCATCAGGGACGGATCCAGGATTTTGAGTCAAGGGGGGCGAAATTTTTCGTTAGTGTAGGGGGTGAATTTTTTTTGTTAGTGTAGCGGGGTGAAATTTTTTCCCCTAGTGTAGCGGGGCGAAATTTTTTCGCTACTGTAGGACTATGCGGCTATTTTTATTCAAAAAAATGACATTAATACATGCACATCCCGAACGACATTTAAATCTATCACATTCTAAGTTTAGACGATGACAAAGACATCAACCAATACATTTTTAATAACTTCTACATTGTTTAACCTCATGAATCGGTTATTGAATTGTAATTTTTGTCCACCAAGGAGGGTGTTTGTGAGTCATGACTCATGAGAAGTTTTCTTAATATTACAATAGTAATATACTAGTATGTATGAGATTGTTATTGTTAGAATAATATGCACCACACACACACATATGGTGCATATTATATTTTAATATTTTTATTAATTCTATAATAATTTAAAGTTTATTATCCGTGCAATAAATTATTTTTAGAAAGCAAGAAGTAAATGATTTATGTAATCTAATGTCTATAAATATTTATATTTTGGATTCATTTCACGTGATCTAAAAATTGTGTAATTAGTGTGTCTGGTATTTAATATTGTTTGATATATGTTTTACAAAATCCTGTACTTGTTATCTAATAAAGATAATTAAACATTACAAAACTAGGAATTCTTAAATAATAAGTATCATAAATCTTAAATAACGAGTTACTCTATTGTTTATTTGTTTAAGTTATGTAAATTATTTTAGATGTTTCTTCTTTTAAATCTCCAATTAAGTATTACATTATGTAAGAGTATATACTAATTTTGAAAATTAAAAGCTAAGGAGGGCGAATCTAATTAAATTATGAAAGTTTTATGAAAATATTACATATATGGTAAAAAAAATTGAATGTCCAAGGGGGGCGGTCGTCCCCGCGCCCCCCTAAATCCATCCGTGATAGCCATGGTTGCACGTGCCTATAGAATTTCAAATAGAGAAAAAAATGTTGCACACATTTTCCTATGTCAGCTTTTTGCATGCAAAGTTGCGAATTAAATGTAACTATCTCTCCTCAAAAAGAGGGTGGGAAAGAGATGGAGCTAGAGCCTAGAGGCCGGCCATAACTTCCGAGTCTGTTACCGCCATCCTGGCGTCCCTCGATCTATTCGTGATTTAGATTTCTCCAAATCATCCGCCGGCCAATTTACGTTCTTCCTTTCTTCCCCTCCGGCGACGGTGAAACAACTGCATACCTACATCTTCAAGTCGGAACTATACGCCGTGCGGCGGCTTTCCATGAAACAGAGAATCCCACTTACGGAAAGGTACTACCTAAAACAGACTTCAATTCTTGTGGGTTTTTTTGTCTCCCATTGAAAACGATTATACTTTATGACGATCTAAATCCCCGGCCGGTTATCATCTATTTCTGCATGATGCATGCCATTGAAAACTACTACTCCGTACGTATTTCTTTATTTCTTGTGCTCAATTTCTATCCTCCATTCTTTCAATTAAAAAAAATGCATATCGAGTCTTTTAACTTAGTCATAATTTACACATCATGTCATTTTTTGAGAAAATTCCTTAAATAGGGAATACAATATAAATTAAGTGTATAAATAGTATCATCACATTTTGTTCTTAAAATATGGTTCACTTATTCTTAATTGGGGAAGTTTATAGTTTCAGTAGAATCGAATAAGTCTTATTTAGGGAATAAAGTATAAGCAGTCATATTGGTGCATTTTATTTATGTCTTAGCTGTGTTTTAAAAAGAAGCAAAAGGAGGAGCCCAATCGTGCCTAGATGTGAGACCGTAGAAAAATGCTCAACATAATAGAAAGACATGGAAAAGGCAGTCAATTGACGAGTTGATCACCAAAGGCATGAAAAGAAGTAAGCTTAGGCGCGAAAGACAAGGTCTAGCTTGAAAAGGAGGGAGTTTCTTAGATGAGTTATATAGTGCAAAGAAAAAGTTGATCAAATATCAATGTTGAATCTAATGTGGGGTAGTAAAAAGTAACAATATGTCATTTTGTATATACACTTTTCTACATTTTAAAATTATATATATTGAACAACGTAAAAATTACACTCCATTATGTATAATATTTTTCGATCGGACATTTGCTTTTTCATATATCACTATAAAATAAGCAATAATAATTATTAATAGAAATCCAAAATGTTTTTTCACGCCTAGGCTTCACCCATTTTTGTCTAGGTTTCAAAGGCTTGCGGGTTGAGGTTTGGCACCTTGCCACGCCTTACACTTTTCTATACTTCAGTCTTATTTGACGCAATTTGTTTAAATTTTTTTCATGTCAAAAGACTTTTCCACCAAAATATCTCCATTGAGGGAAAATTCCTCGAAGACGGCCACTTTTTTGTGTAATGTTTAATTCAATGAAAAATGCCTCCATGCATGTGAACAAACTTAATTATTAGTTGTTCATAACTCAATTACATGGCAAATAAGGAAAATATACATAATTAATGAGAGTATAAGTTCATTTGGATAAATTGTACGGAATATAATAATCAGAATAAGTAAGGTTGTAATTACTTTTCTGAAAAAATTGTTGAAGATGACTATTTTACCTATACTTTAACACAATTTTCCTCGACGATATTAATAAATTATATTTTAAATATAATTTTTTCACCATCAGTAGATTAAGACACTTCATCCAGAATCTTATCATTTTCATCAAGTTCAGCTGATTTAGCATTTTAGCCTATTTCGAAGTCACCAAACAAGCTCTAAATCACCAAATTCGTCTTCTTTCTTTCATTATTAGAAGCTTATATATATTTCCTATGTTTTCCCCCGGGTTTAACGTAATTTAGTTAGATCCAATAGTATTGTCATGTGTACATGGATGAGAACCTGATTGGCTTGCAATGTAATATGTTAGCAACGTTGGTGTCTTGTTGAACCACGTTAAATTGGTATCTCTTACTTTACATTATTCGTTTTTCTTTGATCTGCCATAATTCTTCATGACATTAATAGTCAATTCCAAGTTAAAAGTGTAGGGACTCATAAGTCATACTAAATGGACCTGAAAATGTGTTTATTGCTCTTGTGAGTGCATGCATAATCAACTGATTTTTCACCTGGTTCAATTAGCTTGCAGGTGAGGAAATAGAGGATTGTCTATATATCATTTGGAGCTAGCTAAGAAGAGGAGAAATGGCTGGTGGGCAGGATATTATGCTCTCAGCATCCATAAACCTTCTATCTGCAATTGCATTCTTAGTGGGGTTTGCAATTTTAAGGCTGCAGCCCTTCAATGATAGGGTATACTTCCCAAAATGGTATTTGAAGGGCATACGAGCAAGCCCGAGAAGTTCGGGGCCCCTCGTGCGGAAGTTTGTGAATCTGGATGCAAGGACATATATAAGGTTCTTGAACTGGATGCCCGCTGCACTAAAAATGCCTCAACCTGAACTTATTGACCATGCAGGCCTCGATTCTGCAGTCTACATTAGGATTTACCTTCTTGGGTGAGTACGTTTTACATATGTTTCACAATTAAGGGATGTTTGGAACTGATTCTGTCTTTACTTCTTGTTCAAAGCAAGAATCAAAATCAGTTTTCAGAAGCTGGTCTCCCCCAACTCTTAAAATACTGCTTCTAGGAGTAAACTGGAGCACCAGAAATATTTCTGCACTTTCACCCAAACACTCCAACTTCTGCTCCCTGAAGGACAGAAGCAATTTTAAGAATCAGATCCAAACACCCCCTTAAATGGCCCACAATAGGAGAGCATAGACATACAAGTCTATAAAGCTAACTATATTTTACTCCCTTCGTCCCACTTAAAAGTTCTTAGTAAAAGTTTTTCAAATTCGCAAAAAGAAAAATTAAATTTAATAAAAGTTGGATATATAAATTACACGATTAAGAATAATTAACGTTGATCAGAGAATAATGGACCGGAAACTTTAAGTGAGACAGGGTAGTATCACTAAAATAGGATTCATTTAGTTCTAGGTGAAGCATAAAAGCAAATAAATTTTCTTTTTCCACCCGTGAATGAGTCCTACTTCGAGAAAGTTGAATAGTGATTTCCGAGATCAGTCATTGGTATTAGGTAATACTACATACAAAAGGCAGTTAACTACATCAGCTAAAATGCAATTATAGCAAACCCGCTTATGCTTGTTGTGTTTACGAAAAATATACTACCTCCGACCCCAAAACAACTTCATCTGATTTGGGTGTCCCAAAATAAACTTTCTATTTCCATAAAAAGCAACTTTCCCATAGAAAATACGGAGTATCAAAACTATCCTTACTTTTTACTTACTTTTTACTTGATTTGACATAAAGTAGAGATATTATTAAAAAGTCAACTACCCACTTTAACTTTCCACTAAAATGTGCTCAAGTCGAAGTGGGAAGTTGTTTCTAGGATGGAGGGAGAATAATTCATTACTCTGTAAAGTTGCATAAATGGGACTAAAAGATAATCCATGTCCTCAAATTAGGCTGTCATTATTATTTTCTTAAACATGTTTTTAACTAGTCTTATTCTTTTATTAGGAATAAATGAGTCTTACATTTGAGACAAAAAAAATCAATGAGATTTTTTTACCCATATATAACTAAAAGATTAAGGAAAAAGTAGTTCTTGTTAAGAGCACTTTCAGATAGGGACTCAGGGACTCGTGTTTCATTTCTTCCCAAAGTTGTCTTCGTGTTTTAGGTTTGTTACTACTTGTGGCATTAGAATCAAAACTCCATTAAACGCAACTGAGGTGGGCGTAGGTTCACATGATAAATATGATGAACAATCACTCGAATTCTCAAAAGTTCTCGAAAAATTAAAAGAGAAGTAATGAGAGATGTGCCTTGACTTTTAAACAATCTTCCTTTTTTGTTTCGTGCCACCTCTGTCACAGGAAAGTTCTTAGATGCACAGACAATGCACAATATTTCAACCAATGGGTAGTTCCAAAAGTTGATCAAATGGTGTTTTCAGCAAGTCAAAATGGATATGTAGGTTTTTCTTAGGCGAGGCCCAATCCATAGGTAACTTGCAGACACAATCCTCAGAAATTGATCTATGGTTTAAAATCAGTCCGACGATGGGCAGTGATTTCTATGAAATAGTCACGAAAATGAAATGTTGGATCCGTATTTCTGATATTGTAAATGTCACCCCTCAATTGTCCAAATTGTTGTAAATTTGGTCCTTTAAGGGGTGAAATGTACTCTCGCCCATATTGTATATTTCACCCCTCAAAGGACCACATTTACAACATTTAGGACAATCGAGGGACAACATTTACAAACTTGGGAATACGAGTCCGACATTTCATTTTCGTGACTATTACAGGGACTAAGTGTGCGGTTTTCCCAGAATTAATGAAACACATTTCTTATCTGAAAATGCTCTACTTTCTGTACTTCTCTTAAAAGTTTATGACTTTTTTTATATATGCCTTTTTAGTTTTTGATTAATAGTATGATAATACACCAACAAATTAGGCAAACTATCCATTCAAAAAATCATTGTCATATAAGTTTACATATGACACCACACCAAAAATCAGGAAGAAAAATCTTAGTCATAATTTTCTCTAAAATAATACGGAGTAGTACTAAGCTTTGTGTATTTTGCTTATGTTTTACTCCTACTTGTAAAGATTCTGCATTTCTTTGTTATGCATGAGTTTTTTCCTTATATAGGCTATACCCCTACTTAATCATCAACATCACCCGCATATATGTAACTCTTAACTTTATAGAAGATAAATTTGAACTCTCTAATTAAGTCTTCTGAATATACATTTGTTGGGGTCCTAGCTATGGCTTATTAGTCAAAGTGTACAACTTTAAGTATAACACTTGCACTTTTTGTTTCTAATCCAATATACAAACTTTCAATGCAGATTGAAAATATTTGTTCCCATTACAATTCTTGCATTTGCTGTCTTGGTTCCTGTTAATTGGACGGGTGAATCATTGCAGAATCACAAGGACATAACGTACAATGACATTGATAAACTTTCAATCTCAAATATTGATTCTGGATCAGCAAGGTGTGTGTATATATGTCAAAATATATGTTTATGAGTTTAAGACTATATATTATGACACACTAATTAATAATATATTCCTTAATGTTGACCCTTTTTTGCATTGGCTAATTTTTGTATAATTAAGGTTATGGGCACACATAACAATGGCTTATATGTTTACATTTTGGACCTTCTATGTTCTCTACAAAGAGTACAAAATTGTCTCCACCTTGAGGTTGCAATTCCTTGCTTCTGCAGATCGCCGTCCTGATCAGTTCACTGTGCGTGCATACAACAATATTATGGGATTATTATATACTTCTATTTCAGTTGTAGTGTTTGACTTCTTCATCTTTTGTTGATTAAAAGTTGTGGTTCAATTCCTTTTGAAGGTCCTTGTGAGAAATGTCCCTCCTGACCCTGATGAATCTATTAGTGAGCACGTTGAACACTTCTTCTGTGTAAACCATCCACATCATTACCTTTTACACCAGGTTTGTGATCTTTAGGCTATATATACTACTTTTTGAATTCTTAAAAGAAGTTAAAGAAGAGGTGAGTTGCTGGTTTAGTCGGTTTTGAACTTTTTTGAAGTTTTATGCTACCTAACTTTAAAATGGTGAAAGTTTTAGATTGTATACAATGCAAACAACCTTGCAACACTGGTGGAGAAAAAGAAGACTATGACAAACTGGCTTACTTACTACCAAACAAAGTATGAGAGAAACCCTAAAACAAAGCCAAAAACAAAGGTAATTCATCCCACATCACATGTAAATGATTTAATTACATATGAACATCTTTTGTGTAATTGGATCATAGTCTCATTTTTTCATCATGTATAGACAGGACCTTGGGGCCTTGTGGGAACAACTGTTGATGCCATTGATTATTACACTTCTGAAATAAAGAAGTTGAGTGAAGAAGTAAGTTTCTCTTCACTATATGATCTGATCTACGATTCATGTTTTGAGCTAGAATGGCGGCACAAGTCATGTTAGAGCTAATAGATACCACCCACTTCATATTTAATTAGTTTTTGATCTATGAAGCACGGAAACTCTCAGGAAAGAATATGTTTTCGTCTCCAAAAATCTACGAGAACTTATTGGAAAGTCTTCACACAATTGTTTTACGAGCAATATATGATGTTTCCCTTTCTGGTTTCTTCACGATTTTTTAGTTTCCGTGCAACATAGTTTTATATCCATCCATTTAAATACTCCATCTTTTACAGGTTATTCTATACTTATTGCAATTTAGTTTTCAACTGGTATAAGAAATTATTTCTATAGTGAAAGAAACAAATTGTGGTATATATTAAATTGTGGGTGAGTTGATCAAACTAATTTTCTTGTTTCATTTAAATTTTTCGAACTAATTGGTTTGGTCTATGTATGGATATCCTTGATTATGTGAATTAATTCATCATACATTTATTTTTGGAAAATGTACCCAGACTTCAGCCTATCAAGTATACTGATTATGGTATGAAGTTCAAATGGTACCATCAACTTAGAAATTTCAATGTACTTATGATATTTATTTCATGTAATAGTTGAGATACCAGAACATATCAATACCATTCGTTCAAGTGTTCAATTTTTTTAAAACCATTCAACTGTTCAAGTTATGCCTCATTAAAGTGGTCATATACAAATTTTGCATGAATGGGGAATAATTGAGCGGTGTTGATGTGGTTTGGATTAGGAAGATGTAGAAAGAGAGAAAGTGTTGAGTGATCCAAAGGCAATAATGCCCGCGGCGTTTGTTTCATTCTCGTCTCGATGGGGAGCAGCCGTGTGTGCCCAAACACAGCAAACAAGTAACCCGACCATCTGGCTGACCGAATGGGCTCCCGAACCGCGTGATGTCTATTGGAACAATCTTTCCATCCCATATGTTGAACTCAACATCAGAAGGTTGCTCATGGGAGCTGCTTTCTTCTTCCTCACCTTCTTTTTTATGATCCCCATTGCATTCATTCAGTCTCTTGCCAGCATTCAGGGCATTGAAAAGGTCTTTCCTTTCTTGAAGAAATTGATTGAAATGTAAGAGGTCTCATTTTTTTACTTATATATTCTTCCATATAAAAAAGAGGATTGAAATTTGAAATTGCACATTTTAGTTAAGGCTTTGCTTAAATAAAACCTTAGGTATTACTTGGTCTTTCCATGCATTTTACAGGGATATTGTGAAGTCTTTTATTCAGGGGTTTCTTCCAGGAATTGTGCTAAAGATATTTATGATTGTACTTCCAACAATTCTGATGACCATGTCTAAAATAGAAGGCTTTACATCACTTTCATCTCTAGAGAGAAGATCGGCCGGAAAATATCATTTGTTTATATTTGTGAATGTATTTCTTGGAAGTATTATCACTGGAGCAGCATTTGAGCAACTCAAGACTTTTATGAATCAGTCACCAACCGAGTATGTTCCCTTCATCTTATACTACCTCCAACCCAAAATGAAAGTTTGAATTTGATTTCTACGGTCTTCAATATCAACTTTAACATTATTATATACATGTCATATATGTGTGTGTGTGTGTCAATAAAAGATGTGGTGCATGTATAATAAGTCAATATTTTGAAAATTTGTATGAAATCGAATTAGACTCAGATATTATACAAAGATGCAACACAATTTATTAAAAATGAATAGTTAAACTTAGTGAAGTTTGACTTGAAAATTCAAGTTGGTACTTCTATTTTGAGACAAGAGTACATATTGTGGAGTACATGATTAAGAGAGACTTAAGTTGAATATACGAATAGTAAATGCGATTATCCTTTTTATTAGGACTGAGGAAGCAATATTATATCTCATCATGTAGCTTTTCAGTCTCCTTCTAGTCATTTTAAAAAAGTTCTACATATCAGGATATATATATGGAGTAAATCTTTCGAAGTCTTGGCCTCTAAATCCCTCCAAAGCTCTTAATCTAAGCTGACTATTTGGAATAGACAACAAGAATTATACTGTATAAAGGATAGTTGGAGAGGAGGAAAAAAGAGTATCGAAAAAACTAAAGAACTCTATTACATATTTATTGATTCTCATTTTATTTCATTATGCCTATTATATAAACACTAGAAGATCAAGTTGTATAAAACATTAAAAATATCATTTATTCCGTATATTAAATCAATCACATAAACACACATAAATATATTCTAACAGAAAGTATGATGATTGCATGCAGGATCCCAAAAACGATTGGGGTAGCTATTCCAATAAAGGCAACATTCTTTATTACCTACATAATGGTAGATGGTTGGTCTGGCATTGCTGCAGAGATCATTAGATTAACGCCACTAATAATGTTTCATATAAAGAACAGTTTTTTGGTGAAGACAGAGAGGGACAGGGAGCAAGCCATGGATCCTGGTTCTATAACTTTTGCTACCTCAGAACCTCGTATTCAACTTTATTTCCTCTTGGGCCTTGTTTATTCTGTCATCACTCCCATACTCCTTCCTTTCATTGTTCTCTTCTTTTCCTTTGCCTATCTGGTTTTCCGCCATCAGGTTTGCTACTCTTCTTTCCTAATGTGTTTTTAATGGAAAATATATTTTTGATATTTTGTTCATTTGTGTATGTTATTAATCTTGTAATTTTCTTGACTTGCATATTCATGTATCTTATGAAGGGAAGCCTTGGCACATTGGCTATGGTGTTCCTGTATGGTCGAGAGGTCACGGGTTCATGTCTTAGGAGCTAGCGGCTTCTTGTCTAAATGACAAGGCAAGGCCATGCTAGCTTCTTTATACACCCTTGTGGTGGACCATTCCCCAACCCTTGCTTTGCGGAAATCAGGAAATGTCAATGTCGGCTGACCCATTTGACCCCCCCCCCCCCCCACACACACACACACAAACAAGCAATTATGGGCTGCAAAAATTATGGGTAGGCTCGGGATTAGGACTACACTCCTGCAGGCCAATAAGCCTTACTCTAGAATTGTACATTCCAGCAGAAAAGTCTCTAATATGGACAAACTTATTACTTTTCTAGCATGATACTCGAATGTGTGTAAAGTCACATGACTAATGTTAGGCACAAACATAAGTATTAATTAAATCAGTAAAGTTCCCGCATTTTAACATTGTAACCAGATTAGCATTAATTTCCCGCTTTTTAACATTAATTAACTATATTTTATTTTTTCTTTTGTGATCAAGATCATCAATGTTTATGATCAGAAGTATGAGAGTGGTGCTGCATTTTGGCCAGACGTGCATCGACGAATAATCATAGGCATGATCACATCCCAAGTTCTGCTTATGGGACTAATGAACACCAAAGGCATTCCCACTTCAACTCCTGTCATACTTGTTCTCCCTGTTTTAACTATATGGTTCCACCATGTCTGTAAGGGCCGATTTGAGTCTGCCTTTGTCAAGTACCCATTACAGGTCCTTTCTTTTTGCTACCTAAACTGTGGCTTATGATTATAAATATGTTACTCTACATTCATATGTGTTTATTTAATGCTGTAGCTAATTCTTTTGTTTATTCTTAACATTCATACAACGCAGGATGCAATGGTGAGAGACACGTTAGAGAGGGCGACAGAACCGAACCTGAACATGAAAACATATCTCCAAGACGCTTACGTTCATCCCGTATTTAAAGGCGGTGAGGTGGGGCTGGAGAGACCTAGAGTAACAGCTGATGAGGAAGAGAATAGTCCCCTAGTTTCCACCAAGAGAAGTTCTCATAAGGGCAGTAAGAGAGAGTCTCATGGGAGCACTTCTACTGCTAACTAGTCCCAGGCCATTCATCTATTCCATTTAATAAGTTTGTTGTTAGAATATACTTAGTATGTAATATAGAACTAATTTAATTTACAACATATAGGGAATAGTGTTTCTCACTATTAAACTCATTATTAACCATAAATGTTGAGATTGAAATACTCTTATATACGTCAAGTTAAACAAGCGAAACCTTTCACACCTCAGATTTTGTTTAATATATCTTACGATTTTATGAGAGGATAGTGTAGAATCCGTTGATATACACAAGAGGAAATTAAAGAGAGGTAAATTGTGTGTTTTGGAAATTACATCCTTTTGTGTGCTTCTAAAAATCATTAGTAAAGTATATTTTTAACGTAAACTACGTGGTTCTTTTTCTGATGAAAATCCCTTGGCTCAAGAGTGATTAAAAACTCGACCTCCCTCGGAAGAATTTTACTCACTTACAATAAAAATCCTTTTAAATGAAAGTACAAGAGAGACTCACCAAGTCAACCCTTGAAACACCCAACTCAAATCAACTCTTGATTTGAGTCACACAAACTTGTCTTATGGACAAGATGCAAAGAGACTATCTCAAGTTCTTTTTGTTGCAAGGACTATCTCAAAGTTCTCAACTCACTTCCCTACGATATAGAAAACTCTTAATAATCAGCTGGTCAAAATCTTAATAAGAACTACAGCAAAAGTTACTAGGGATCGAAGTATAGGATAGGAGTCCTATAACAGGAAAGTAAAACACTAACTAGAACTGGTCAAGAAAGAACTGAAACTGCTGGTACATGCTACAATGCATAAGTTCTCATTATGCTCTCTAAATATATTTTCGATTTCAATAACCTTTCAGCATATGGTCATTGATTCCGTTTTTTCAGATTCAAAAACATTTCCTTAATGTGATGTAAAAAGCATGGAATTGAGAGAGCGGAAGATCAGAAAATTACTTGTTCGTAATAGCTCAATTTAGCTAATAGTAGTACACACAAAATCTATAGTAAATTCTTCACAGGAAATTAAAGGATTTCGTTTGAGATGATATTGCTAGATGATGACACATGTATAGTTGGAAATAACACTATTTGGTCTTCACAAATATTTTGGCTTACATTTTTCTGTATTAGAAAAATTCATTCCTTGAATTAGATGTTTACCGTATATAAAAAGCACGATTGGTTGAATTATCGACCTGGGATTGGCGGTTCTATTATAGCTTGGTCTAGTAGTTGCCCGGTTCCAAAAGTTCTGCAACTCGTTCAAGTTGAACGACTTATAGAAGAAAATGGTTCAAGATCCATGAACACACATGATATTACTTTAAATAGTTGAGCTTCGTTCTACTCTTCCCTTGATATCCACTTCGAACCCGTTTGGTAGCACAGAAATTTATGAAGTTCTGACTGAAGTAGCTGCATTGGCTGATTCTGCTGATTTAAGAAAAAAATTATTTTTAAAATATATTTTACTAATAAAATAAATAAAAAATTATATGAAAAAAATAACTAAAATGGTCATCTACAGTAACTTCAACCAATGCAGTCAGAAAAATAACTTCAACCTTACTTTTTCTGCTTATTACACAATTCAGCGCGCGAAAACAAAAATTACGTGTTTGGTGAAAAAGTTGGCTGATAAGCCTAATAAACCGAAAAATAGTGTTGTCAAACGGCCTTTTTGTGTCTGTATTTTTTTATGTGCTTAACATTAGGGAAATTGCCCTCTCAATAGTACTAGACACTGTGTACCACGTTTAATAAGAGTAATAAAAGTCATAATTTCATTTATAATAAAAATATAAAAATCATAATATTATTTATCATAATTTGATTTATTCTTTTAAGATCATCAATGTATATAATCACGGAAATTTATTTTAATGCTTAGAAAATCATAATTTTATTTACAATAAAAATATAAAAATGAGGGGAAATAAAATTAAAATTATAAAAACAAAAAAATGCCTAAAAAATATTTAAAAATATATATGCCTATGTCGCCATATCCTCCACCTCCTAGCACCACCAACTCTGATTACCATAAAAAAATGTCATCTTGTGCAAAAGTGTCACATTCTTCTGAAAATGACATGAAGACATCATTTTTAATTTTTGAAAATATTCAGTTTTATTTTTTTCGAAGTTGTGATCACAATGACATTTTTAAAACTTGGTATTCTTTTCCGGCAACTAGATGTGGTGGTGCTAAAAAGTGGTTGAGGTGGTGATTTTGGACTGTATATTTTTTATTTTTTTTACTTTGTTATTTTAATTTTGATATGTTTTATTATTATTTAAAAAATCCTATTAAGCATGACAAGGGAAAGGGTAGAATATGAAGAGTTAATCCTATTTATGAAATTTAAACTTTATACTTCTATTATTGCAATTTTACTTTTATTTACTGATGTTTAGAGAATTATTGTCCCTTTTTAATTTATATGTAGTACATCACAAGCATATAGTATACGAACAAAAGAATTTTTGGAAATAATAACGTACCCTATTGGGTGCGTTGAGGTTATATTTATACTAAAACATAGAGTTTATGGAAATTACAGAGTAATTCCTATAATTACATTATTACACCCCCTCAATCTGTGCAGGGGAAATCACGTGTAGATTGGAACGCAAAAACTCAAAACGCTGACTAGATAAATTCTTAGTAAATATATCAGCTAACTGTAACTGAGTAGGAATATGTTTGACGACCAAGTCGCCATGTGCCACGCGTTCCCGCACAAAATGATAGTCAATCTTGATATGTTTGCTGCGTTCATGGCTTTTTGCAACACTTGCTCGAGATACATTGATGGCAGTTTATGATCTTAAACACTCTCATCTTATTTGGGAACGTTTACAACAACGTTATATGTCTGCTTGTTTTTCACGCTCCATAGAACTCAAAAATTCTTTATCTCATATTAAAAAGAAATCCTCACAGACTATGGAGCAGTATTTGTTGGAAATTAAACTTTTAGCAGATGGTTGAGTATGCTATTATCGGCCTGGGACGTGGTTATGAGTCCCTCATCACGGCCATAAATTATTTTCCGGGGGATGTTACTTTGGATAAATTGGCGCCCCTTCTACAAGCACAAGAGCGTCGCAATGCTCTTCTGGATGCCCAGGAATCTGGCCCGGTGCATCAAGCCTTTGCAGCGGCTGCACAGCCTGCACAGCAGGCCCAACGTCCGCCTGCGGATCCTCGGGGTGGTCAACACCCGCCTGTTGGTCGCGGACAGAGAGGGGGACGAGCACGTGGTGGTCGAGGAAGGGGAGGCCGTGGCTATTATCAGTATCAGCAGCAAGCATATGGGACTCCACAGTTTCAGTAGCCCTACGGGATGTATCAGCAGCAACCAGCCCCTCCACAGCCACGTGCACCTGCACTTTTTGGGGTTCCAGGTTCAGTATTGTGTAATCTCACTTCTGGTAATACTTATACTGTTTATTCTCCTATTTCTGCTACTCATACTATTAGTGCAGGTTTTCCATCTGTGGATCAATCTTATCAGTCTCCACCTCCCTCAGTTGTTTGCCAGTTGTGCTTTTCTCCAGGTCACTCAGCTCTTACGTGTCAGCGTTTTACTGCCACTAATTCTCCTGCTCTTGCTGCTTTGCCTACTGGTGAGACACATGATTCGGTCTAGTACCCTGACTCTGGGGCTTCCGCGCATATGACTCCTCATGAAGGTATTCTCTCTTCAAAAATCCCTTACACTGGTCCGAATCATGTATGTGTTGCCAATGGTACTAAATTGCCTATCTCTCACATTGGTAATTTAAAGCTTGTCACACATGATCGCCCGCTAAATCTTAATTCTGTTTATCATGTCCCTCACATTAAATACTCCCTCCGTCCCTTATAACTTTGCCAACTTTCCTTTTTTGGACGTCCCACTAATTTTGCCACTTTCCCTTTTAAGTAAAGAATTTGTGGTTCCAGTTAATTCTCTCTCCTCTGCACAAACCTCAACCACACAGTTTTTACTTTATTAATCCCCGTGCCGGTCAAACTTGGCAAAGTATTGAGGGACGGAGGGAGTATAATTTACTATCTATACAAAAATTGTGTGCGGACAATTCCTGTGAAGTAATTTTTAATAAAAATTCTTTTTGTATTAAGGACATTCAAACGGGGGAGCTTCTTCTTCAAGCAACCAATAAAGACCATGTCTACCCTTTTCATGCCCTCCAAGCCCGTGTTATTCCTGGTCCGGTATGGCACAAGCGTCTGGGACATTGTGGTGATAGAATTCTTGGTAGTCTTAGACAGCGAAAATTGATTACTAGTTCTTCTTCTTTTTTACATGATTGTGTTTCTTGTAAGTTGGGAAAATCCCACAGACTCCCATTCACAGATGTTTTTCATAATTCTACCCCACCTTTGCAAATTATACATTCTGATGTTTGGCAATCGCCAATTTTATCCAATCTTGGTTTTAAATATTATGTGTCTTTTATTGATGATTTCTCTCGTTATACTTGGATATATCATATGCGCAGAAAATCTGAAGTATTTACTCATTTTTGTAATTTTCAAAAACTTGTTGAAAATCTTTTGGATTTGAAAATTAAAATTTTTCAAAGTGATGGTGGTGGGAAGTTTGATAACTCGGTTTTTATACAACATTTTTTAAATTCTGGAATTTTATTTAGAAAATCATGTCCTGACACTCCTGCTCAGAATGGTGTACCTGAAAGAAAACATAAATATCTACTGGAATTAACTAGGACCTTACTGATCGATTCGTCTGTTCCTGGTCAGTTCTGGATAGATGCGTTATATACTGCTGTTTTTATTGTAAACCGTCTTCCTACACCAGTTCTCAATGGGCTTACTCCTTTTGAAAAACTTTTTAATAAAATTCGAGATTATAATTTTTTAAGAGTTTTTGGATGTTCCTGTTTTCCCAACTTTATCACTACATCTCATAATAAGTTATCACCACGCTCCATACACTGTGTTTTCCTTGGTTATGCCCCGAGATACAAGGGTTATCGCTGTCTTTCTCCGTCCACGGGTCGGGTTTATATTAGTCAGGATGTTATTTTTCATGAAAACAGTTTTCCTTATCCCATGCTAGCTAATACACCCACTGCTACATCCACTCACTCACCGACGACCTTACCTTTTTATTGGAAATTATCTTCCATCAACTCTCAGCCATCTTCCCAGCTGGATCTACAGAATAACCATATCAATTCCTCAGACTTGACCCATAATCCTTCCCAGGATATAACCCCGGCACCATCTTCGAATACCACCCCTACTCCATCTGAACCAGCCACACCAACCACTCCATCTACCCCGTCTAGTTCTCCCACGTCTTACCCAAATGAGAAATTACTCTAAATAGGACTAAAAGCACTTCTATATTCCAAAAATAGGACTGCCATGTTTTTTCCCCCAAAATAGGACTAATTACTGCCATGTTTTGGCAGTACCAGGCTTTAAAGATGACAGTATTTTCCAAACTTGACAGTAATTACTCCTATTTTGGGAATAAAAACATGACAGTCCTATTTTGGAATTTTCAAACTTATTTAGTCCTATTTCGGGAACTTTCCCTACCCAAATCTGCCCACACCTTTGGATGCTGACACTTCGGCATCCACGGCGGATCAACAATCTGCCATTTTGTCCCAACCCAGCAGTATACCTTCACCACCCATGAACGTTCATCCCATGCGTACCCGGACAAAAGATGGTATTTTTAAACCAAAAATCATTTTAAATTTAAACACTTTTGCTCCCCCCGATGATCCCACTTGTTTTACACAGGCTAATAAGAGTGCAGTTTGGCGGGCAGCCATGGCTGATGAATTTAATGCTTTAATTGCTAATGGTACTTGGGAATTGGTACCATGGGATCATACTAAAAATGTGGTTGGTTGTAAGTGGATTTTTAAGACAAAATATCTTTCTGATGGGTCTATTGAGCGGCATAAAGCTCGATTAGTAGCTCAGGGTTTTAAACAACAGGCTGGTATTGATTTCACTGAAACCGTTAGTCCTGTTGTCAAACCCACCACTGTGCGTCTTGTCTTGTCAGTTGTTGTTTCTTTAGGTTGGTCCGTTAGACAGCTTGATGTGAAAAATGCTTTTTTGCATGGTCATTTAACTGAAGAAGTCTATATGCGTCAACCACAAGGTTTTGTTCACCCTTCCTTTCCTACTCATGTTTGTCGGCTTCGTAAGGCTTTGTATGGTCTTAAACAAGCTCCTAGGGCCTGGTTTCATCGCTTCAGTGGTTTTTTATTGAGTCGTGGTTTTTCTCAAAGTAAATCTGATTCTTCTATGTTTATTTATCGTTCACAGACCACTGTTGTTTACATTTTATTATATGTGGATGACATTCTGATCACAGGCTCTTCTCCCTCCTTTGTTACTTCAGTAA